TGATGTTTATCTGCTTACCTCCAGGGCATCCAAGATGTAGGTGACTTTGTTTCTTCAGTAGAACACAAACGAATATTTTTAACTCAAACCGTTGCAGTCTGTCAGTCATATAATGGAAGTGAATGGGAATCACGGCTTTGAGAGTCAAAAAAGCATACACAAACAAAACCAAATTAAACCCTGCGGCTCGTGACGATACATTGATGTGTAAAGACACGAAACGATCGGTCTGTGCAAGAAACTGAACAATATTTATATTGTTTTTTACCTCTGATTCACCGCAATGTCCAACTGTCCTGAGCGTGTGCGTTATAAGTGCATTACTGCCACCTATCTTTCAAAGCCGTGATTCCCATTCACTTCCATTATATGACTGACAGACTGCAACGGTTTGAGTTAAAAATCTTCGTTTGTGTTCTACTGAAGAAACAAAGTCACCTACATCTTGGATGCCCTGGGGGTAAGCAGATAAACATCAAATTTTCATTTTTGGGTGAACTATCCCTTTAAAGGTATTGTGCACAGTAAATTGCATTTTCTGATACTTATTGCAGTTCCAACATGAAATACCTAATGAAGTAGAAGATGACAACTTTTAACAATTTGGCATTGCACTAGTCTTTTTGCTCTAGTTGCCCCAACATTTAGGTTTTTATCATGTGGATTATAGGTACCTCTTCACCCAACTTAGTTTCAGTACCTCCACTTAAAGTGCTAAACACGATGAGGATTCTTAGGTTCCAATAGAATTTCTGCAGCCAATACTTCCTAAATATGAGTACCAAAGTATGACACTCTTTGGGGAAGGAGGGATACACAGAAGGGTGTGCGTGGTGAGCTATGCAGTCCCAGGCGGCCACTCTACCCACGTCGCACTGGGGTGGGGACTGGTTGCCACGGGGGCTTGGGAGCGACTGAGAGAGAGAACGCCATGACCCAGATTGTGATGGTTCTCTCTTCCTCTCCCCCTCCACCCCAATCATTCCCTCTCTTCTTCACATCTTCCCTGTTCTTGCGTTTTCTACTCGATTCTCTGTCTCTGCTCTCCTCTCTACTTTGTGCTTTCCTCTCTAATCCTTGATGTTCCCTCTCTCAGTAATAAGAACCCCCTCCTCTCTCCATAACTTCCTGCTGGGGCATAGAGGGACCTGGGGTCACACCCACCCCACCCTCTTTTATTCCTGGAACTACCCACAGCACAAGCTCCCAGGGGAGCCTTTACACACACATACTCTGGTAATGCTTCCTCACCAATACACATCATCATCTCTCCAAAGGATTTGCCAGTGGGCGAATGCTACTCTCATCATTGAAGTGCTCAGATACTTCCATATTGCCGGAGCCAGCCTTGTGTGCATAACTTGCAGACAGAGTCAAAAAGTCATTTTCTGCCAGTTGTGGGTGAATTAAGAAAAAAGTTTACCTGCCATGAAGTTGTATTTTGCATTATATTTTAGAAATTAAAAGATAATCTGTATTATATATATGTTTATCCTTCGAGATTGTTGACATTGGGATTATTTAGCAGTGTTTTTCCTTGCATATTTCAGACTGTACTGCTCATCTTGAGATGAGCCATTCTCCGTCCCCAAGTCTAGCTGCAGCTAAAACAAAAACATAAGCGCACTTCAGATTTTCATCTTGGTGGCTCTGCGCGAGGAATATTATACATTTTTGTTGCCAAATAGAGTTTGAAAGTTAAAAAAAAAACCTTTAGGCATCATAGATAAACTAATGATAACATTTCCAGGACAAAGGTCTTTTCAGCCTTTTCAGTATTCCTTAATAGATGTAAAGACGTGTGGCGCTAGATCCTATCCCCCTGCAGAGACCCATCCCCCGATTATAATGGCTGAGAGAACTTTTAATGGGTACACTATTCAGTGCCCATTAGAAATGATAGAAAATTGATTTACTGTGTATACAGTGTTTGTGGTCCAAGTTTACTTACATCAGCAAGTGTCAGCCTATCATTCTTAACGTTTGTCTTAAAATGTGGCAGTTCCAATTAAAGTAACTGGCCATCTGCAAGTTAACTTTGTGAGCGCTTTTTGGACCTTGTTTACAGACGTTCTGCTCACATTCAGTGTGTATGAAGCATTGGGTAACACCAGCCGTCTCAGACAACATTAGCCATCAAAAGGAATGCATATATGTTTGTTCACAGTGCATGTGTTCACCGTGTGTCCGTGCCAGGTTGGGAGGAGGGGCACATTGAGGGCGGCCACACCCCAGTTTATGGGGGGCCACAGCTCTTTGTGGAATCTACTGCAGCTGGGTCACATGACACCCCCCCCATGCCTAAGCATTACCACATTTCTCTCTCTCTCTCTCCATTAATACTGCTGCTCTACTCTGTGAGACTGGCCTCTCTCTTTTGCTATTCGGTCTTAAAGAACTGGGTGTGACTCTGCTTGGCTCGAAGAGGGAGGCGACGCAGGACTGCTGACTACTCCTCCCTACTGGTTCATTTGCTCTTTCTCTCCTCTTGTCTTTCTCCAGCTGGTCAGTTTTTAGAACCATCTTTTCCCCCTCTAATTTTCTGTTTCTCTACACCTTTGTCATTTAGTTTCTAAGGTACCGTAGAAGTAATATCTAAAGTATCTTTAGTATAGTCCAGTCTAGGCCTTTTTTGCCTTTCTCTTCTTTGATATCTTCCCATTTCTGTAATTCTCCCTCCATCTTCAAACATCCCCCCACATTTGACTGACCTGTACTTGATTTTCACCCATCATCTCTTTTGTTTCCTCCTCCCCCAACTAACTTGAGCTTAAGAGGGACTAACAGTCTTCTTACTCTTCTCACATTAGTCTGGTGAGGATCATTAACTCTCTCTCTCTCTCTCTGTAGCCTCATGCTAACTTTAAAAATGAACTATCTACTAGATTCAATTCCAAACTCGGGTCACTTTGTTCAGGCGAATTGTAGATTGTGCATTTTGCTAACTCCTGAGACTGTTGGTAAGACTACAACTTGACGCTCTGATTAGCTCTGAAGTGTTCTCTGTTTCTCCTTCGCAGTGTCAGACGAGTCCGAAGAAATCCACTGCAGCCACCTCTGAGCCTGTTGAGGAGATGCCATCCATACAAATCAAGCCGGAGCCAGAGGAGGTGGAGTGTATGGTGGTGAGTGAGCTTTTGTAATGTGGCATATGTGTGTGTGTGGGGGCTGAACTTCGTAGTGGGATGGAGAGTATGAAACCTGGAGTTATTGGTAAGGGGTGTGGTTGAAAATGAAGTCAGTGGTCCTCATGGTTCCTCTAGACTGGGTGAACTTGGATCTCTTCTTTCTAGATAAGGACGGGGCATATCTAAATGTTTAGGCAACATTTATTCTACAAATGCATGTAATATTAATTTCATGATATGATTCTCTGGAGTATTTGACTTAGTACTTTCAGGCATTAAAGTCACAATAGCCTCTTTCACACAGAAATTCCGGAAAATACACGGATAATGTGTCCCGGGATCGTTTGATTGTAGTTCATTCACACTGCCAGTGATTTTCCGTAAACTGTGTGTGCGTTCACACACGTCCCGTAAAGATCCCGTAAAGACATGTGACATTACGATGTGACGTGTAATGTGACGCGTTCTGTTTCATTTAAGCTGGCGAACGATCTCAGCTTCAGCGCGGGTAGTGAGGAGCTACCTGATCTCTGCTTCATTAACCAGTTTGCACATATGTTTTCGTCGCGAACGTTGATCTGCCTTCAAAACACCCGGTAAAAGAGTCGCACGATAACGTGCGTCATCACTACGACACACCCTTTACGGCATTGGTTCTGGCTTTTGTTCACACAGAGCTCGTTCCAGGACTGAACCCGGCAATGTTACTAGGTCCCCAACCCGGGATTGATCCCGGAATCAATCCCGGGACGTGTTTGCGTTCACACAGAAGGCACTTGGGCAATTTTCCGGGACCAACGTGCAGTGTGAAAGGGGCTAATGAAACAAAAGTAGTGACAGATCTTTTCTTCCATATAACATCCAAGTGAAATGGACTGTCAAAAAAGAAAAAAAGTAGGGTGGGGACTTGGTTCTATACATTGGTTGTTGATTGGATGGAGGGAGGTCTGAATATAACTAAATAAATTCTTTGAAGACAGTCCATTTATCAGTATTCCTTGACTGTTTTGGAACTTGGAAATGACATTTTTTCCATTACTAAATATACGAGAGAGCATGAAGAAATAGAAGAGTGATCATTAACAGACAATTCCCTCTGCCGGATGGTATCTTACAGTCTGAAGTTCCCCATTAGGAGTCATAATATTTTATGTATTAATATTACTCCTCCAGTGCTAGTTCCCCTTTATTTTGTTGTGGTATCTTTTTGTACCTTTCCTTTTCTGTCCTTCTATCTTTCCTTCCAAGTCTCGCCAAGGCCCTAATAGGATATATCGAGGGAGGCTTCCGTTCTGCTGTAGTCATGGCAACGAGGCTCTGGCGGGAGTTGGAACGACTGTGATGTAGCCTCCCCACACCCCTCCGCCTGAACACACACACACACACACACACACTGACACACCACCCCACCCCCTCACAACACTCCCACTCCATTACTATACACACCTAAAGCCGTAAGACACACACGAACACCACATACCTGCAGGGTTACACACAAGCTCACATCCACATACACCATACATGCCTGACATGCACTCACTCTGGAGTTAACGGGAGCATTTAGGCACAAAGATGTGCTCCACGCCCTTTTATTCTCATCCTCTTAACACACATACACAGCCTTCTCTGTGTCTAATGCGCTTTTACCCAGCCGACGCTTCATAAAGACTGGACTCACAACCAGTGTTTATTATAGAACAGCTTTGCCACTGGTCAAAAATCTGTAGAAAGATCCACTGGGGAAAGTCGAAGGTAGCTGCTGCTCTTTGTTGAGTTGTTCAGTTTGGGAAAAAGTACCTTGGAGTTGCCGTTAAGATCTGCTGTCGATTTCACCTGCGCAATCTGATACTGCAGGCGGTTGTGAAAAGGAAGTTAGGGGCTCGCCGTCGGTTGCCAGGTATTTCAAGCTTGTGCACTCTAGCACATCAGTTTATTGAGTGGGTCTTCGTAGACAGCATGACATTGTAACCCGTTAGGTCAATGAGGCCCAGGGTGGGTAGTTGGTGAATTGTTTGTGGGAGAGGCTACATGACACTCCCTTTCAAATGTTTGGCAGGGCCGCAAAATCAGACGCTAATATCACCCTCAGCTACTACTGTTTCCTTCCACTCCTATATTTTATCATCCGTATATGTACACCACTCCCTGCAGAATCCTAAACGACTGGCCTGACTAAACAACATGCAGCCTAAATCTGCAGTGGGCTTTCAGAAGCTCTTGAGTTTAGGGTAGGATGCACACCAGATTTTGCATCAAGCATGATTCCAGGCTGCTTATACTGGCATATAGCGGACATAGTTGGGATGGGAGGAGTTATTACAGGGCTAGGTTGCCTATAAACCTGGGGCAGTGTACTGGACACACTGGGGTCTTTGTCAGTGATCATAGACCTTGTGTCATTATTCTGACAGTTTAACGATGGACTGGAGAGATAAAACAAGATGGGCTCTTATTTATGTTCCTGACATAATCAGACAGAAGTCTTACTGCTTTAAGGTCCTTAAAGCGGCTTGTACCAAATGTTCATTTCCAGCATAATGAGCAGAGCTCCAGAGAACCGGACTGAAATTTGGCTGCAAGGATGTCAAGAATGTACTAGTCTACATGCCATCGTTTGAATATGTTAGTAGTAAGTGTATAATATTTTCAGTTTGCTGTGGTATCAAGAATCTTGATAGGTCACTGGTATTGTTATTAGCTCCTGAAATTTGTGACCATATTTGACGGTGCAGCATTATGCTTTTACAACCAGTGCTGGGTAGTAACTGATTAAATGTAATTTGGATTACATAATCAGATTAAGTACTTGTAATTAGATTACATTTTAAAGCGTTCATAATCAGATTGCAGTTACTTTTCTATAGAATACGATTACACAATGACAGTAAATTATTTATAATGTATTGATTGATTCGTCCTAATTCTTTTTTTTCTCTCTCTCTCTGTTAAATTTTTCTTTCTAAAAAAATCCTACCCCTTATATACATTCGGAAAGTCTTTCGGTTTTATGGAACGGCACCAGTCACTAGTCAGATGACTTTAATTACACATAAATGGAGAGGCCACACAATTAGTTTACTTAGTCATTTTTATGATTTAATTAATGATTAGCTTTTCATCACCTCATAAACCCTGTGCAGTTCCAGTTTGGGAAACCTTGGTGTGAATAAATGTTTATTGCACTTCATGATGTTGATAACTAAGAATGGAACATATTTTCTTATGGGTTAGGTCAAAAGTAATATAAAAATAATCAAAAGTAGTCATAATACATTACCTAATATGTGTAATCCAACACATTACGTTACTAACTACAATTTCCGTTATGTAATTTGTAATAAGTAATGGACTACAATTTGTAAGTTATCTGCCCAGCACAGTGCAACACCATTATCCTATCTTTGAATTTTGAACTTTAGTAGTAGAGGCAGCCTCTCCCTGTTTTTGTAAAATGTAAAATCAATTGTCATTAACACGTCAAAACTTCATGATCCAACACAGGAATGCAGATAGTTGCAGTCAGTCTTTTATTGTCTGTTGTAATTGATTAGTAACCTAATTTGTAACAAAGCTTTTTCATCTCTCAGTATTGTGGTGGAATGTAAACTTGGTGAACTCTTTTGGGAATATTATTAATGGCCAATTTCCCCGTTAATGGTTGTCGGTAAGGTCAGCAGAGAGTCATACTGCCATCAGTCCATCATTCCTAACAATGTTAAACGGAAGGATTTTTCACCAGAAATTCACATTAAAGTTCTAGTTTCTTTCTCTCGCTCTCTCAATTTGTTCTGCATTTCTACACAGTCAGAAACAGGGTGCGGTTCTCTCTGCGCTGCCAACCTTTACCATGAGTAGTTGCTCTTCTGTCCTCATTCATATGTTTATGCCAATACTTTCTCACTGGACTACTCTGTTCACTTTGTATCTTTGTGTGCGCTTGATATGTTAATAGTTGGCTGTTATTTTGTTTTGATTGGTTTGTCTGTGTTTTACCTGTGTTTCTTCATACTGCAATATATCCACAGCAAGATTTGAAAAATCCAACAGCCACAGAAAATCATAGCATGCACAAATTGTGTCGCTTATGGACATAGTCTTTGTGTAGTGGGAGGTCCAACAACAGACACAGTGGGTATGGTGTCAGGCCGCGGATTGGGTTATACTTAACATAAATAAAACCTCCCAAAAAAGTCCCAAAAAGGGGAAATAATAAAGTGTCCAAAATAAACAGGGGAGCTGGTGTGACAGGGAAGTCATGAAGGCAGGTACTGTCGAAAGAGTTCAGCCCAGGTAAAGGGATGCGGGGTCCTAGCGGCCACACATGCTCCCCTCCTCTATCCAAGGCACTAGGAGGAGCAGCGGTTTCTGTAGCAGCTCTGCTTTCCTCGGACTGTGGCATTTGAGGGGCTCGACAGCCTGACTAATTCTAGCTGGACTGCAATCCTTCCCCGCTCCCCTCCTGGGCTTGCAAGGACACCAGTGTACATACACGGGGAAAAGAGACCAGTCTCTCAAGGAGAGGCATGCTTGGCATTTAATGACCGTGGTGACGAGGCTCCATTTAATTCAGGTGTGCCTCATCACGTGCCACCAGTCCTGCCCTGCGTGACTGCATCCCAATGTTCATACTATCCATCCTAAATAGTATGTGAGATTAGAATTAGTGTGTCCCAAAGCATATATGTTGAAAAGAGTATGCCAAAAGTCCCCGGATGGTCTACTATTTCAGGTCGATTTTTGAAGTGTGGATCCGTGCACACTCTAATGTCTAATATTACCCACAATCCATTGCGCTTTGACGAATGATTCGGTTGAGAACTACAAACATGAATAAAAGCGTTAAAAACTACAAACATGGTGGATGCGCGACCGACGGTTAAAGAGTTAGTTCACCCAAAAATGAAAATTCTGTCATTAATTACTCACCCTCGTGTTGTTCGAAACCCGTAAGACCTTCGTTCATCTTTGGAACACAATTTAAGATATTTTTGATGAAATATGAGAGCTCTTTGACCCTCCCATAGACAGCAAGGTAACTACCACGTTCAAGGTCCAGAAAAGTACCAAGATGATCGACAAAGTAGTCCGTGTGACATCAGTGGTTCAACTGTAAAGTTACGAAACTACGAGAATACGTTTTTGCACAAAGAAAACAAAAATAACGACTTTATTCCACATTTTCATTTTCAACAAGGCAAATAAGTGTGTTAAAATGATCATGGTATTGTTTAGTATTTTATATTTTGTATATGTTTAGTTTGTATAGTTCAAGTGTTAATTCTCATTGATGATGTGGCAATGCAGAGCAAGTGCTAGTTAGAAACTAATTAGATGAGTTAGTGTTTGTTAACTTTACAGTTGAACCACTGATGTCACACGGACTACTTTGTCGATCATCTTGGTACTTTTCTGGACCTTGAACGTGGTAGTTACCTTGCTGTCTATGGGAGGGTCAGAGAGCCCTCAGATTTCATCAAAAATATCTTAGCAATGTAAACTTTTATAAACATCCGTTTAGTCGTTAACTTTTAAATGCATCATTATTCAAAACAGTTCTCCGCATAAAGACCCACGGCTGGCAGATCAACGTGCTACTTCTTTTCTCTCCGATATGCTATGAAATGAAATGTGGAGGATGTTAGCTGTGAGAAGATGATTGACAGGCCATTTTACAGTGACAAGGGTGTGTGTAATTATGCGACAGAGCAGTCCATTAAAGACACAATTGTATGACGTGATAGTATGTCCTAAAGCTTGCCTACTCTTGTACTTTTTCTTCATCAAAAAAGTACGTACTTTAAGGGCATAGTATAAGTAGGCACATTGGGACAGCAGCACTGGTTGTTGCTGTGACCGTCCTCTCTCTCACACCCACGCCTGTCAGGAACCTGATGAAGGGTGATTTAAGGGATGGGATGGGGTGCGTTAATAATAAGGGGAGGCAGCTGTTCCGTCATATTTGTTAATTATATGGTAACAATTTTGTTTTGACACATCATGCAACACTATGCCATAGTGTAACCAGTAGCTTACAGTTGAGGGTTATGTTGCAACTTGGCTCTTTAATATGGAGTGTGCAACTATTCTTCAATTGGCTGTTTTATAATGGACTCAAACTTGGCTCATCCACTCTTATTCATAATGAATAGTTTTTTAAGTCACTAGATTTTTGAAAAATAGCCGTGGTCATGTAATATATATATGAACAATTTGAAAGCTGCATTTACTGCAAAGATAACTGTATTGGATTACACTTACCATGGTACCAAAAATCCTGGTATGAAAAATTCTAATAAGATTTTGGTCATATAAGTACATTATTATTATAACACTGGAGACCTAAATGACCATCTGTAATGTCTGTTTAATTTAGAATAAAAAAGCCAGTAATTTGGTGACTTTGGTGTTGATTTGTGAAGAACTCTTATAATGTTTTGCTTGTTTCTAGGGCTGTGCAATTAATCGCATGCGATTGTCATGCGCATCTCGTCAGTAAAGCCGGTTCCGTGATTGGTAGTTAATCGTCATCACCTGCTTTCAGATGGAGCGGCATTTAATACACAGAGCCGTAGTTCACTGACAAGCTAGGCGATATCACGTTCATAATCGAATGCACTACAGCTCTGTGTAGTGAATGCCGATCAATCTGTTGTGTTTTTCTCACAATTAGTTTTTGTTTGCATCTAGTTAACTCAAACTATATGTATAGCTAATATGAATGTTATCTAAGAGATCACACAGATCAAACACAATTGGTTTTGATAATGACAGCCAAAGGCTCATCCTTCGCACAACACTCACTTGCTGCCGCAGGCCTAGACAGTTTCCTACAACTGCTAATAGATATTGAACACACTCAATTAACATCCCACACAGCACGCTAGTGATAATTGGGTCACTTATCGATGTCGTTCTCCCGACTCCAGCGCTACATCTTCATGTGATTTCTTTGAGTTTGAGCAGTGGAAAACAACTCAAGATGACAAGAAAGGTGGAGTGGATAAAGGGTGGGAATGGAGAGAGAGTGAGGTGGCAGGGTGGAGTACCATAGAGAGACTGAGAGAGAGGTGGGCGGGATCGAGAGAGAGAGGGAAAATGAGTCAGCTGATATACCTCCCAGTTTCCATGACAACCGTAGGCCTTTCCCACCCACTCTCCCCTTATTCTCTATTTCATTCCCACCCCGGCTCACTCGCTCTTGTTTTCTCTCACTCGTTTCCTCCCAACACCTCCAGTTACACAACTGTATAACCTCTGTCTGTACCTGTCTTGACTTTTTATTGTTTGATGTCATGAGAATTTGCCATGCTGCTTATGTTTTTGATGATGCCATTTAAGCATGTGAATTGGAAAGTTAAACATTTAAATGCATCTAAGCAATACCATGCATGCATATGCACTTTGTGTGGATTCCTCAAGCTGAAAGATCTCCTTACAGCAAATTAACATAAAACCTTATTATTAATGCAGGCATCACTATTATAATAATTAATTGATACCTATTATTGAGTATTTAGAGAGAAAATGGAGATGAGCGTGTAATAAAAGCATAAAATATAATACAATTAATTTTAAAAACAATAAATAAACGGTACAGCAATAAATAAAAGCAATTTGATGAATTAAAATAATGTGTTTGACACAAGAAATTTGTATTATGTTTTATTTACATCTCCAGTAATGGTTTTAAAATAAGCTTACTTTAAAAACCTCTTTTAAAAACAAACAAACAAACAAACAACAATATAATAATAATAATAATAAACATGCACTCACCTGGAACTTTAAAATGCCAATTTAAAATGTAGACTGCCCATTGGGGAAAATATTTTATTTAAAAATATTTTTAAATATTTTAATTAGTATTTTAACAGCAAGCAGGATGTGAAAGAAAAATCATTTATGAAAAATCTGAACAGTGTTTTTACCTATTTACATCCTTTAAAGGGGTCATATGATGCGATTTCAAGTTTTCCTTTCTCTTTGGAGTGTTACAAGTTGATTGTGCATAGATAAGATCCCTGAAGTTGCAAAGACTAAAGTCTCAAAACCAAAGAGACACCAAATACACAAAATAATGATCTTTAAAAAAGCATCATATGACCCCTTTAAATTCCTATAGACTTACATTGAAGAATGGAACTAGAGACCAGGGTATCATAGAGACCCAACCACTGCAAAGCAATGTGCGAAAAAACCACTCAGAACACTTTACCAACCACATAGCAACACCCTGGCAACCACCCACAACATCCTAGCATCATGGCTGTGAGTTTTGCATGGAAAGGCAGCACAAGTTTAACGTTTAAACACACCAACCTCTTTCTTTAGGAATTAGTTTCAAACTTTTCATTTGTTTTATTACCTTCACCGAAAGCATAAACACACAGGCCTTAAGGTTACTTTTAAGTCTCACTGCAGAGGGAGTTTAGTGGGTGTAGCTTGTGTGCACATCATAGACTGTATAAAAACATGGACGTAGTGTCCGTGACGTCACCCGTAGGTTCCTGAAGAGGTTTTTGAAGCTCAAAGTGGGCAGAGCCGGCCGTCGCCATCTTGGCAGCGCGACACCGCGCGTCACTCCCGTATAATCGAAAATAAGCAAAAAGGCGGGAGCTGGTTGCTGAAACCACGCCCACCTAGCGCGACGGTGGTGACAGCAGCGGCAATCCACCTGTCACTCAAGTGGCCACGCCCTTAATTATGCAGAACTTTAAGGCTTAATATAAATCATTTTTTGAACCAGGCTGTAAACATGTTTTTTTCTGCTGTAAAGTTGGGCATTTTAACATGGGGAGTCTTTGGGATTGACTCCCTTTTGCAGCCAGCCTCTAGCGGCCAGTTGATGAATTACAGTTTAAGTCACTTCCTTGTTGGCATCACAAGAGAGAGCGGGAGGTTGCCGCTTGGTGCACATACATACACAGATCTTGTGTATGTGTGTATAAATGTGTGTGTCTGGGCTTGGCTGTGTTGAGCTGGACTCATGCCAGGTTTAGGCCTTCTCCTCTGCAGCGCAGAGGCCCAATCTGGCCAGCCATTGTTCCTGTGTTTTGTGGAGCTGCTGCAGAGCTGAGCATGAGCGCTCCGTACCCTCCCTTTCCTTTCTATCCTTCGTAATCTCCTTCCTCGCCTCGTTTGCTCTTCCGTATTTGTTCCTTATCTCCCTTATACCCTCGCTTTCCTCACAGTTTTCTTCTATTTTTGTGCTTCTACAGAAAGAAGAGCCGTTAGACGAATATCCTGAGCCTACAGACCTCAAAATCAAGTCCTCGCCCCCTCCGCTCCGAGACATCAGCACCCAACACAACAATGACGACCAGACGGAACCCGTGGACCTGTCCCTCAACAAGCCCCGCCCTTCCCTTCCGGTAGCCACGGCAACCTCCACCCCTGCAAACCCGCCTCCTCACAACATCACGACGAGCGCCACCATCCCGGCGGTGCTGTCGACGGGCTCCATCCTGGCGTCCACGCAAGGGGTCGGAGGTCAGCAGATCCTGCATGTCATCCACACCATACCCTCTGTGACCATGCCCAGTAAAATGGGGCAGCTGCAGACCATCCCCGTGGTGGTGCAGTCCTTACCGGTGGTCTACACAACCATACCCACAGACGGAGTGGCTACCGCCGCCATCACAGTACCTCTCATCGGAAGCGACGGGCGGTCGGAGGGATCAGGTAATATGGCCGTGTCCTATTGCACATGCTCGGTTGTAGCGCTAGTAGTCTAGCTTTAAAGTCTCATTTTAACATACTGTTCTTTAATTTGGTATGGCACACATTGTTCTAGTTTCAGGTCACAGCCAATTGTGCTCTGACCTTTTAACTGAAAGAGATATAGAATGAGCATCCACAACCTCATAAATCTATATAATAGCTACAATAGTAGGGTTGGGAATCATGAACCTGTTCTTATTCAAAACTTTTTTACAACATACCGTATCCGTATGCTTTTCTTGATGTTCAGTTCCGTTGGTGGAGCGTGTGAGAACAGAACAGCCTAATAAAATACACAACATATACATTAGAGACACTTTGCCGTTGTCATGACGTTTATGGTAGGTTTTATTTTTGATGGCTATATGCAAGCTTTCAAGCAAGAGTCATTAATATTAGAAGTCATTGTAAAAAGATTTTTGTGGCGTATGTGCTGCTTTACCGATGATAGGCCTCCAAATCCAAGCAAAGTTTTTTTTTGATGTGAGCAACTGATAAACTTTTTATTTTTTCTAATTTGTTTCCAGGACAGTAAATTGGTTTAAAATTGTATTAAATGTATTGAGATATTACATATTAATTAATATAATATTATTAGAAATTTAATGTTTAAATTAATTTATTAATGTCTTAATGGTTTCGTAGTTTAAGTATTTTTGAGTATGCTTTTAGTGAAAGAGCCACGCAATATGCGCTACAATTTGAAAGCTTGGGGTCAGTAAGATGTTTTTAAAAAAACATTCATAAAGGATGTTTAAAGCATGTATTCAGAAAGGATGCATTAAATTGATCACATGTCTATTTCCATTTCAAATCAGTTCTCTTTTGAAATTTCTGTTCAGCAAAGAATCCTGAAAAAAAAGTATTACTGTTTCCACAAAAATATTTGGCAGCACAATTTGACAATACGTTTTCAACATTGATTATAATACGAAATGTTTCTCGAGCAGGAGCATATTAGAATCAACTAGCATCGATTCACTACAGAAGGCCTTTGTTCACCCCCCAGAGCCGTGTGAGGCACTTTTTTTTAATGGATGGGCACTTTTTATTTAACTTGTTTTTGAATGATGCATGCAACACCCGCTGAGTGCCATGAAACAGCTTGAAAGATCAAATACAATTTTTAATATAACTCCGACTGGATTCGTCTGAAAGAAGAAAGTCATATACACCTAGGATGACTTGAGGGTGAGTAATTTATGGGCTAATTTTCATTTTTGGGTGAACTAACCCTTTAAATTGAATGAATCTGTTAATGCTTTTAAACCTATTTAATTGCATCATTAACTTTGACAGCTCTCATTATAACAATTTTGTTGAAATCTGAAATGATTAATCTCATCATTTGACAGGCTACTTACTATAAGTCTTATTTTCCAAATATTGTCTATTCTTTCTTCCTCAAAACTACTAAAAGGCTCATTATGGAACCCGAATCATTAAATGGAATAGAGGCAGGATCATTAATTACTTTACAAATCCCCATCCCTATTCAGTAAAGTGACATGCTCTTACTCGGGTAGAAATGTTCTTGTAGGCATGCATGAATTGGCATTGTGCAGTGTGTCAAAAGCAAGAATCCAAATATGAGCCTGGGATGGATCTTGTCTTCTCTTTATGAAACTGTCCTTTAGTTCTTCCACCCATTTTCTTTAGGCGGTCACACCCTTGGTCTCGCCCTCTTGCAGTTTCATGCCATTGCCGTTTAGTTATCAGCATACAGACGCTGCTTCGTCCCACACATGTGGATGTGCATATAAAAGACACAAAAGATGATTTCAGGGCGAGGCAGATGTATCCTTAAACTTTTAATTAAAAGAGATAATGAAGCAAATCTTACCGGCCTTTATTAAAAAGGTGTTATGGCTAAGTAAAAAGTACACGCTGTGTTACAGTTTCACTCATGAAAAGTTTTTTTTTTGAGGCCTCTGAAGCCTTTTTGTTTTAAAGAAATATGTTGCATCAGCTTTTGACATAGAATTGATCTTTTAAGCAGGAAAAATGATACAACTTTACTGTAGTAGCCATAGTTTCCCACAAATACCATAGTAACAATGGTTGGTTAGTGGTCTTGCTAGGCACTATTACCATTTCTCAGTCTTAGGGTTTGTAGAAATGCCTAACCCTAAGTATTAAACTTTGGTGCATAAATTGTCCCAAGACAAAACTGTGGTTATTTTTGAGAGAGGAACCATCGATATTTACATTTAAGACTTAATGTTTTCTTCCCCAATAATTGGGTCTTTCCTTACTTCACCCCTCTTTAGAGCGAAATGGTTCGGTCCGCTTGAGTCTTTTTCTTCTTCTTATTGCCCTTTTAATCTCACTGCTTTCAACCTCCCCTGAAAAGACGTCATGCAGGTCTTGGACCGTAATAAGAACATTAAAACACAAAAAAATGCTGAATAAAATGTGCTGAATGTTTTTTTAATAGAAGAACCCCACCCAAATAAAACTATGAAAAAAAAAAACCCACTGATGCTTGTTTAACACACTAATACAACCCCAAAGTATGAACTCAGGGAGGAATTGTGCTTGGCTGTTTTTTTTTTCTCGGTTATTAACTTTGTGTGTAGCTCCGTGAAACCCACTTGAATGTAATGGACAGATTATGAAGGTCAGCGAATTGTGTTATTTGGGTGGGGACCATCTTCAAAGAGACCGTAATGTAGATCAGTTTCTTTTGGACTCAATTTATGGGAAAACTACCAAGGTGGAGGACTCAGCGTGCTTTATTGAACAGGCCCATTGCACCCCATATTGTCTCGAGTGAGAGGCCGTACATGAAGTATCTCTGTATATGGGTTTTTTGTCTTTTGAGTAATGTGGGGCAGTTGGGGTTGAGGAGAGGAGACAATTAATGAAAGGACAGCACCCTTCCCCCTTTCATTTGGAAGGTAATCTTTGAATACTCGGGGGCTTCTACAAATCATCTCCTCTGTGGCGGGTTAAAGGTCATGTCCAGAGATCTCAGGCCAGAACGTAACTATCCACACCCTGTGTCAATATGGAACATGTATTTAACTTGTAATATTTTTTCCTCTTTTTCTTTGTCCTGTGGACTTGAAAACTGGTGCCTTTGACGATAGCAAGACAATTATTATTATTATTATTATTATCAGGCTAGTATTAATATCTAATTAATATTAGGGCTTATTTGTTCCATCATATTTCTTTTCCCGCGTTTTTACCGTGTTGCGCGTTATAACCAATCACACATTATTCCGTTGAGTTTAAGAATGCAGCGGCCAATCAGAGGCGTTCAGATGAGTCATCGCTGAAACACTGGAGTTTTGTTGTTGGGTGCGCTCACGGACAGATTTCTGCTCTCTCGCAAATTCTCTCATCATAAACAACAAAGATGCATAGATATGTATAGATACATATATATATCTATGTGCAGATGTACGTGCGATGTAAGTATAAGAGATTTATTCATCATACAGTGTAGATAGCTTCACTGATTATAACGGGAGTGTTTTTTTAAAAATGCACAAACTTGCACTGATAATGTAAATATTCTTTGTTCGTTTTCTGTAGCTGCTTGTTTGAATAATTTAGGAAATGTAAGCATTATAATTAGTAACTTACAATGTTTCTATTGAATTGTTATCATTTTAAAAACTAATTCAGTCATATTAAAAATATTTTATGACATGACATCCATATGCTACTTGACTAAAGATATAATGTGTAGTTAATAGATTAGGCTGCTTTTAGCCTTACCCTGGAGTAGGGGTTGCACCGACTAATCGACTAGTCGACTTCAATGCTCTGCCATGACGCTTTAAGCTTGACGTCGACTAGTCGCTGGTCCTATAGAGGGCACAACAGGATAAGAAATCTTTGAAGGACTTCCACATTTACGCTCCGTTTCCAAACAGTTCAAATGACAAATAAATGCATACTCTGAAAGCGCTCCACAAGACATGTGTGATTATATTACTGGATGCTCGAAATTGAACGGGAGAATGCACGTTTTAAACAGCTTATTGTACAGGTAAGTTAATCGCCGTTCTAATCTAATGCGCTGCTGCACTGTAACGCACACATAGGCTACAGACAGTAGCGCGTACATCACGCGCATAGAATCATTCAGCGCGGAAATGTATTGTCAACACTGTTCTGTGATTTCTCAATAAAATAGCTTAGAAACTTAAAATTCAAGCATGTATTTCTTAATAACTAAATTCCACAGCTTCACTACTAGTAGAGAGACGCTGCCAGGTAGAATTAATTCACACACGCAATCGCTCTCACTAATGCATTCATATGAATGTAATCTTTACTGTGCTACTTTATCTGTATCTGATTTAGAACGAACAGAAATCTGTGAGAAATATAACGACCCAAAAAATAACTGATAAAAATGAGCTGTTATAGGAGCAATAGCCATGTGGCCAGCGCTGCGTCATATGCCATAGCTGTGTACAAGGT